CGTCGCGATCGTAACAGACCATGTGTCATCCGTTTATCTGCTTAACTAAATTCTAATAACTGATATCCGAAAGAGAAGAATCGTGTAGTCGTCAAGATGTAACATCGATGTACTTCCGCGATTAGAATAATAGGGATTATCCGCTTAGCCGAATTCTAGAAACCGATCCCCGGAAGAGATCAGTTGCGTAACCGTCGCGATCTAACAGAGTAACAGAACATGTGTCACTCGTTTATCCGCTTAATTAATTCTAATAACAGATACCCGAAAGAGAAGAATCGTGCAGTCGTCACGACGTAACACTACGGCGTTGCACGCACTTTCACCATCTTGTGTTTTTATTTATTTGAGACAATTAAAGTGGAATATAATTCTCAATATGACTACTGAAATTACGGTGAAAATACGGATAAACCGGTAAGTTGATTACTTCTTGTTACTTTACTTATGAAACAATACACTTGGGCTTTTTATAAGAATTATATCTGATAACAAGTTTGTAGGAAAAATCTTTTTGTCAGAAATAATTCTATATATCCATGGATCTATAATTATCGATTATGAAAATTGTTGTTTTATCGTATATTTTTATAATTTATTGGTATATACTTATTATTCGTAATAAATAGCTAATAATTAACTTATTCTTAGCATTTAATTTTTACAACTTTCTTAACTGCATAACACATTTAAAAAAGATCATAGTTTAAGAAAATTACCAATATCATCAATATGTATGTTAATTTTACATAAACCAAGATTTATATTTATTAATGTTTATATTTTGTTGCAGTATGCTGTACTAGAATTGCCTGTATACGTATCTAAGCCAACTATTTATGCAGTACCAGCTTGTAATGGGTAGAAAATATTTATATTAAAATATGTGCAGAAAATGATAAAGAAACTAGATTTGCTGATATATGCAAGTAGCCTCCAGATGAATCTAAATTGATTATCTGGAAAAAAGACAAGACCGACTGATACTTGGACCACTTATAAAAATGTTAACAAATTGAATGGTAACTATAGAAATCTGAATAGTTCTCAATAATTCTCAATAGTTCCTTTCCATACGGGGTGCTTGAACGGTCTAGATACATGATGCTCTTGGCAAAAACTTGCAATACCTTAAATTTATATACATATAAACCGACTATATCTGACGAAGTTTTTAACGCAATTAAGCTTGTGTATAAAGATTTAATCAGCAATGATGTTAATCGTTTAGGAGGATACAGGCAGAACAGCAATAAAAGCTTATTTTTCAATAAATGACATTTTTTAGATGTTTTTCAGACATTTTTCAGATGTCTTATTTGGAGATCTTATTTGGACGTCTTTTGGATATTCTATAATGACATAAAAATTAATTATACGGAAAGTATTGACAAGAGAAAGAATACGAGGCAGAATTTGGAATTATTTAATAAATTGGTACATCATTGATATAATGGTTACACAACTTTGATTTATCTATTGTAATTAGAAATCAATTTTGTCATTAGAAATGTGTAGATGTTAAATCATTGATATACCAATTTATCAAGTAATTCCAGCTGTCTCGAATTCCTTCTATCTCGTATTCTTCCTCTTGTCAATACGTTTCTGAATAGTTTCATCTTAATTGCGTTCTTGTATATTATAATATAAAATATTGGAGTACTAGATAAACTGACTGTCAATATTCTTATAGGTTACATTATATCGAAATTGGTCATGTCATTTATTCCAATCAATAAATGTATAGTCGCTTCTCGATAAATATCACAGTCGGTAATGTAAATAATTATGTTTGGAATTGTCATTTAAAATTTTTAGAAGTTATATTGATGACAGATGAGGTTATGGAACATATGTCTTAGAAAAGATGTCTTTAAGACGTCGAAAAGGCGTTTTTCTGATGTAGTCTTAAAAACATCTTTAAAAGGATATTCTTAAGACATATTCTTTCTCAAGACATGTCCAAAACACATATTTATGACGTCTTTTGGTAAAGTCTTCAAGACGTCTCTTAGTGTCGGTCCACAATAAGTATTTAATCTTTAAGCCGTAAGAAATTGACTAATCATAGTCGAGTATTCTTTTCATATTCGATTATAATTGGTCAATTTCTTACTTCTTAAAGCTTAAATCACCTATTGTGGACCGACACTTATAAGACGTATTTTAGATGTCTTTTAGACATGCGTGCTGTCTGGGAATTTAATCTCTTTTGCCTGGGTAGGACCATATGCGATCCCCGAGAGCGGGTGGGAATGAGCGTGACGAGAAGATTAAATTAAGAATGAATAAATTGATTTATTATTAATGAAAACATTTAATTAATTAATGTAAAAGGAACACAATACAAGATTAAAACATAAAATACTTAAACATAAAGAAAAAATAGTATGCATAATCATTCGGTAGATAATGCTAATGGTTAATATTTTTTCGAATGCGCGCATGTGAGTAGAAAAGAATAAAATAAAATGTGTAGCACGCGGGTGTTACAAAAATGCGGAGGTCATTGGGCATGGCAGGGTAAGACTCTACGTTAAAATATTTAGGGTCATGCCCGGTTTTTACAATATAAGTGAATAAAAATAATAAAATAATTTAGCTTATGACTGATTATCAATGACATTATCTTAATATTTGTGGCTGAATGGGTGATGAGCGGATTAAATAACTGACGCCACGAAGATGGCTATTCGAGTATGCAGCCTACCATGAAAGAAAACAGATACTTAATTTATGATTTTCCGTCGTCGCTAGTGCACTAAGTTTTTTTACGTTCGACATATGACTGTCGATGAAGTGTTATTTTAGCTTAGTTACAATTCGATCGGGTTTTATAGTTTATTTTCGGTTTTTTATAGTTTATTTAGTAGTTCGAAAAGCGGCCCTCAACAATCTGAGGTTCACGTGTTCGGCAGACTGGCGTCCACAGAGCCTGAGCTCGTAAAAAATATTTTAGTTTATTATTCAGAATGATTTTTTACGCTGTATCGGAACTCGCTCATTCGTACCGAAAAAAAAGAATCGTGAGGTCTACCGGACGTAACACCCCCCGCCTTAGGCCAATGTTGGGGGTTGCTGCTTCTCGGATGGCAGTAGGGCGGCCTCGTGCAGAGAACCCGCTCTCTGTGCGGTCATCATCGAATAACGGGACCCCTCTTGTCATGGGAGAGCAAGAGGGCACTGGCGGTATAGTCCCTGCCGCCAGCGGGCCTTCGTCAAGTGGCATAGGGCAGACGTATGGTGAGGGTGCCTCTTCCTCCTCAGGAGCCCCTCATGTGGTAGCTGATTTGTCGAGATATCCGGACCCGAATCTATCGAACGTAATTTACATCCCGGACGATGAAGAGGATTCTTGAAAGCCCAAATATCAAACACCGAGTGGAGAAAAAAGAAGAGCTGGAAGTAACAAATACGACAACTTACAACTTAGTGAAACGATCAGCCTCTTGGATTCGGATGAAGTTAGTTTCGTAACTTATGGGAACACTGGACCGGAGTCGTCCACGATAAACTGGGATAATAGTCCCAGTGGATTAAATAGAAGAGGTAAGAAGAGAAGATTGGGTTCTTCTCCCAGAAATGTTAGCGGTGATAGACTTACGAGCACACAAAAGATGGAAATTGAAGAAAAATTTGGTATAATTAAATACTTGAAAACTGTAGACGCTAGAGCGCAAATTATAGACTGGCTTGGTGAGGTTGAAGGTTGTAGGAAGAAATCAAACTCTCTGCAAGGGCCGGTAAGCAGGCAGATTAAAGTCAACTTGTGGGCAGCGAGACGAGGAATAGAAGAGCTGATGGATAGAATATCTGGCAGAAATAAGGATAATATTAGTAGAAGCCAATATGATGAAATTAAAGATGAACTCAACAACAAGCTGAAAGAGGAAAATAGAATGCTACGGAACTCGGTCAGAGCATTTACCGCTGAATTAAAACAAAAGAAATCCTCAGCCACGATAGCACAGTCTAGATCCACAGCCAGCATAGGCGGCCTGAAGCTCCGTGTCGAGGAGGAAAACGCTAGACAGTCTGATGGTTTTGTAGACAAAGGACGTTCGGCTCCTGTAAATAAATCAAATGTAAATATTAATAAAGATAACACAGGTAGAGTTAACAGAAACAGAAATCATAAATACGAGTCAATGAGCTCTTGATGAAATTCACCGGAGCAATGAGAGAATTATTAACCAATGACTTTAATATTAGCAGAGGAGAAACCGACAATCCGAAGAATACAGAAAATCGTTTTGTGGACAGACCTGAGCGTATGAAGCCTCGTCTCTTGGAATTGGCTGCTAGCAATATTCCTGTGTCATCCTCAGAGGCCGGAGGCAGAGAGGAAATAGGCTGGTCAGAGGTTGTAAAGAGAAACAGAAGGAAAAGAGGTAATAATAATAGACCTCCTGGCAGAGCGACGGAACGTGCAATGGATAACTACAGGGAAACTTACCATACCCCGCGACCACGTCGTCCTGGAAGGAGCGGAGTTAACATCCCGTCTCCCAATGTGGCGGCAATCTCAATTGTAATTGACAACGATGGACCATCGTATGCGTCGGTGTTGGGCAAGGCCAAGAGTAGTATTTCCCTGAAGGAACACAATGTCACGGATACGCGGATAAAACGAGCCCTCTCTGGTGGTGTACTCTTAGAAATCAGAGGTGAAGATCCATCCAAAACAGCTGACCACATTGTCGAAAAGATGAGGGAAATTATAGAGGACCCTCGTGTCAAGATAGATAGACCCATGAGGCAGACGGATATCAGACTGTTGTTCGGCGCGCGTAGCGACCGCCGGCGCCCGGGCGGCCAGCCCGTCGCGCACAGCCAACCGCTCGCGCCTGACCCGCATCGCTGCGGGAGCAGGTGCCGGTTGGCGGCGCGACGGCTGACCGCCCGCGACGTCGGCGCGTCGCGGCTCGCGACCACGTCGCCCACCCCCCTTCCACCGGCAGAGGCCGGAGACGCCCCGCCTTCCTCACGGGGCGCCACGACGGACGCTTGTGCGCGTCGCCGAGCCATTACACCGCGGACATTCACGGGAGCACACGGATGTACGGCACTCACCTCATCTCCAGTACCGTCCCGGGTATCTCCCTCGCGCTCCGCCAGCGATGTCCCGCGATGAGCTGCCGCCTCTCTTGTCAGTGGTGGAGACTTGTGGGCCGTCCTCGCGTTGTTGTTTCC